TCCAGTGAGTGAGGACCGGAGCATCGGTGAATGCTTGTTTGAGCGTGTCAAAGGCTTTTTGACAGATGTCGGACCAATTCCATCGAGTATTTGATCGCGTCAACCAGGTAAGCAGAATTGTAAGCTCTGCGTAACCGTAAATGAATCGGCGATAGAAATTACAGAAGCCGAGAAATGATTGAACGTCCTTAACTTTCCGGGGTACCAGCCAGTTGGTGATGGCCGAGACCTTTTCCGGAGACATCCGGAAACCGTCTGGAGAGAGGATGTAGCCCAAATATTCGCAGGTCGTGACCGAGAACTCGCATTTCGGAAGTTTGCAGTAGAGTCCGGCCTCCTGGAGGCGCCGGAGTACTTCCCGAACATGCTTTGTGTGGTCAGCCAGATTGTCGGAGTAAATAAGAATGTCGTCCAAATAGACCACAACATTGACATCGAGTAAGTCGGCGAAAATATGATTTAGAAAAACGTTGAAAAGCAGAAGGTACATTCGTAAGTCCCTCCGGCACGACCCGGAACTCGTAAGAGCCGTATCGTGACTGGAAAGCAGTCTTCCATTCGTCGCCAGGCGCGATCCGGAGCAGGTGATAAGCGTGCCGGAGATCGAGCTTAGTGTAGATGCGAGCTTTACCGGGAGCGTCGAGAAGGTCGGTGATCAGTGGTAGAGGGTACCAATCTTTCTTGCTTATCCGATTTAAACCTTGATAGTCGACACAAAGCCGAAGTGTGCCGTCTTTCTTTTTGACGAAAAGTATCGGGGCACCATGACTCGAACGAGAAAGATAAATGAAGTTGGCCTTCAAGTTCTTGTCAATAAAGTCTCGCAAGAATGATAACTCAGCTTGTGATAGCGAATAAATGTGCCCAACGGGAGGAACTTCTCACTCAATAGTCTCGATTTTGAGGTCGAATTCTCGATGTGATGCTAATGAGTATGCATCTTCTTCCGAAAATACATCTGCGAAGTCATGATATTCCGAAGGGATGCCGGAAACGTCCGGAGTCACGGAAGAAGCCCGGGCAAGCAGATTGTCGCCTGGAGAGGCTCGAATGGTATATTGTATCACATCTTTATCCCGAATGATGGAAGCGTAAGCTGCTGCTGAAACAAGGGACACGAGTGGAGGAGAGGAAACAAGAGGGGCCACTGGTGAACCGGAAACCGGAACAGAGCCAGAAAGAGGTGCCACTGGTGAGCCGGAAACCGGAACAGAGCCGGAATGAGATGCGTCCATAGAAGGACCAGAAACCGGTATAGAACCGGAAGATGAGTGATCCATGATAGGACCGGTATAGAACCGGAGAGAGGGTGAACCGGTGAAGGACCGGAAGATGGCGATGGAGAGTCCACGATCGGTGTAGGCGCATCAGGAGGATCAACGGCAGCTGATGAAACCTTGTCCGTAACCGGAACAACCGAATCAGAAACCGGAATAGGTGCCGGTTGGGTCGACGGAACTCCACCCGGAAGCGTGGTGCGGAAAGTGATAGAGGCATCCAACCAGTTAATCAACGGATTAAAGCGGTGCAGCCAATTGTATCCAAGCACTAGATTGCAGGGTGAGTCCAATTTGGTGACATACAAGTCCAAAGAGTGGACATCGCCAGAGGGAAATTTTACTAATAACCGGAGTATCCGGTTGATGATAGAAGTGGAACCATCAAGATACCAGAGAGTCACCGGAGGGATCACATGCGTGGCAAACTTATTTAATTTGTAAGTCGACGATGATACAAAACAATCTGAAGAACCTGAATCGATAAGTGCATGTGAGCGGGAATTGAATCCTGCGGCAACAGATGGTACAAGCTCTGGTGGAATGGTTAAGCATTCACCGGGCCGGATGACAGAATTATTGGGCAAAATAGAGGATACGAAAATGTCGGCATAAAGCGCATTAGTGGAAAGAGTAAGCACCCCGGAGTCAACGCAACTCGGCCCGGGTGCTGAGGATTCCAAGCTGCTGACTATTTTTCCGAATTGACAGGTGCAGCCTGTGGTGTCGCAGAAGGGGTCATTGCCGAAGCAGAGGGAGTCGTTGCGGCCGCTTTGCCGGAAGCATGCTGCTGATCGGCTGGGCGCTTCTTGCAATTCTCCATCATGTGGCCGGCGCCTCCGCAGTACATGCAGAGGTTATTCTTCTTCCGGCGCTCGCGCTCCTCCTGTTTGATCTTCCCACGCGAATCAAGTTTATCAGCGTAGGGTTTCTTCTTCTTGTCAGATGAGTTACCGGAGGGCTGTTGGCCGGAGGTCTGATTACCGGAACCGGAAGACTGATTACTGGAACCGGAAGCGTTGCCTGAAGATTTATTGCCAGAAGATGATTTACCCTTATTATTCCCTTGTCGCTGTTGCTGGTTGCCGGAACCGGAAGGCTGATTGCCGGAACGACCGGATGCGTTAGCACCAGAACCACCACTGGAACCGCCACCGGAGTGACGCTCCCTTTCTCGCTCGCGTTCCTTTTCCGTTTCTCGCTTCCAGTACCGGGTGTCGATAAGCCGAGCAACATTCTTCATGCCAAGAAGGTTATTGATGTAAAGGTGATGGATCATGTCGTCTTTGATCCGGCGAGGTAGTCCTTTGTAGAACTGATGCCGGAGTGTGGAATTGCCAAAGTCGGTAAGAAGAGCGAGCTGGTCAAAGGCAATGATATATGTTGCGATCCGGTCACCGGTTTTCATCTGGCAGGACCAGAGTCTATCCTCAGCATCTCCAACCGGATCGTGGGGCCCAAAATTCAGGGAAAGCTTCTGAATAAACAATGCAAAATTGCCGTCCCATGCCGGAATGGCAGACGTGTTGTAGAGGTTGAGCGAAAACCACTGTTGAGCCGAGCCTCGAAGGTAGGAGATGATGTAAAAGATTTTATCATCGTCCGTGGGGAAATCCTGAGGGCGCTCAGAGAAGTGGAGATAGCAAGACGTGAGGAAAGGTGCGAGTTTCGACGGATCAGAACCATCAAAAGTGTCCGAAGCACGTAGATTAGACCGTGCAGAGTGAGGGGCGGAGTTAACCTGATTTCCAAATGCGACAAGAACATCCCGAAAGGTAAGAGCAGTGTCGAGAAGGAACCGGTTTGCCTCGGCGTCGTTGACCTGCCCATCAGGGTTAATGAGGGGCTGTCGAGGATTACCTGGACCACCACTGCCGCCACCACCAGGCGGACCCGGAGGGCCGGGAGGGCCGTAAACCGGAGGATGAGGTGGGCCGGGAGGACGAGGCAGGCCGGAAGGGTCAGAAGGACCGGAAGGTTCGGAAGGGTCACCACTCGGGGAGCCTCGGCCCAGAAATGGACGAGGTGGCCAGTACAGATCAGTCGGGGATTCTCCGGCAGGAGGCAACGGAGGAGCAGACCGAGGGCGAGAGACCGGAGCAGATCGAGCCGGAACTGGCTGCTGAATGTCTGTCTCGGCAGGTTCCTCATCTACTTGTGTGAATGCCAGAGCCGGAATAGGAGAATCCACATCCTCGAGTTCCTCAATACGAGAGGGTCGAGGTGTCACCGCATAACGTCTTGGATTTATTGGTGTTCGGGGACTAGTAACCAATCCAGGGACATGAACCGTTGCGGCGGCCGGAGAAAGGGTTGCTCGACGAGGAAGAATGGTAGACATAATTGGAGGAATAATGGGACCGGAAGTATATGAACCAGTAGGACCCATAATTTGAGCAGGGGAAGATAGTTGAACGATTTGACCGAATAGGCGTGATTCTCGTCGAGAGTCTCGGCCGTCGCGTTGTGCGTGTTGCACGTCAGAAGTGTCGGGAGGGTTGTGTTGCGACATGGAGAAACAGTCAGTGTCGAGGTTAGGTTGAGTGAATTAATACTGTAATATCTGTGCCGGAATGAACCGGAATGGAAGCCGGGTGGTACTGGTAACACTACACCACGGAACCGGAGTGGCTGTGTGGGTGAGCGCTGGTCTAACCTCTTGCCTCGGAAGGACAGAGATAATTGAAGTGCTGGAAGGCCGGAAAGCCGGAAAGACAAGATGCACCAGAAAGAGATAGAGACACGATTTACAACCGAAGAGAGTCGGAAGCAACATTAATTAATTCACTGAAGTACTAGACGTAGCTATAGCGTCTTTTATACTAAAGTGTCTAATTGTTATTCCTAATGTAGTAGTAATAAGTATCAACAATAGAGACAATACAAGCATAGTACATATATGGCATAGAAGCTGATAAGCATATACTGACGGCCGGAAAGAAGCTTTGTGGCCGGAAGAGAAACCGGATTGACAATAAGACAATAACGGTTAAACGGGAAACGCTCAGTAAGCTTCATTGCGTAAAAACCCGTGACCAGAGAAAATGGATCAAGCCGGAGCTATTCCGGTTAATACCGGCATAGTCGTGCATGGATATAACACCTCCAGATGCAGTTAGTGAGATAAGAGCTACTTTTAATATATAGATTTTTTCTCCCACCTTCTTGAATTTTTTTTTTTTCCTCCGCAAAGTTGAGATTTGGAACCGTTATGTGTTATTGACACACATCAGTCACGGCTTACATAAGGGTGCAGGGTTCTCACAACCTCCACCTTACCTGCAGGTACCCACAGGTATCTGGTATATAAACAAAAATCCATGCAGCCATCATAATGTTCTGACTAGCATAATGTATATGTTATGTGTTATTGCAATGAGACTGAGTGCCGATCTGTCATGGTAGCTGCAATGCATGCACCCCAGGTCCCCAGCTCATGCATGTGAGGTAGTTGGGTAGTTATTGATAAGGGCTATCTACCTACAAAACATGGCCATCATCCGTGCAGCCATCATAATGTTGTGGCAAGCATAATATATGTGTTATGTGCAACCGTTGGTTGCATACTTAGGTGACAACCTTGATGTTATTATGTTAATATAATACAATATAACACAATGCTGTTGGCGTTGGGATTTTCAGCCAGAAAAAAAAGGCTCTGCGGCATGAAAAAATTAAGATATGACCTGCAGGTACCTGTGCAGGTGATAAAGCATAAAAGATTGGCTGAACCAGGAGTTGAACCTGGGACCTCCTGCATTGTATGCTGGTGCTCTTAACCACTGAGCTATTCTGCCAATAGAAGGGACCTATGATCCCTACAAAGGGAACTCTGATTCTCACTTCATCACTCCCCTGGAACCCGAGCACTACTGGCTCAATGTGAACCGCAAAGGGGGGCACCAATCTTGCCTATGCTTCCACGCAGAACTTATCCGCTAGCGGGGCCCATAACCTGATAAAGCATAAAAGATTGGCTGAACCAGAAATTGAACCTGGGACCTCGTTCCGGTCCCCCCCTTCAACCCCGAGCGGAAGGGGGGGCCGGCCAACACCGGACCCGCCGGCCGACCATCCGTTTTTCGCGAAGCGACAGCGTGCCGCGGGCCGACCATCCATTTTTCGTGAAGCGACAGCGTGCCGCCGGCCGACCATCCATTTTTCGCGAAGCGACAGCATGCCGCCGGCCGGCCACCATTTTTTGGCTGCGGTGACGAGCTCCATTTTTTTTTTGCGAAGCGACAGTGTGCCACCTGGGGCCGACCGTCATGGCGCCGACGCGCCTGCGAACGTCGTGTGACGCTTGTCACGACGTCAACGTCGCACATCGTCAACGTCGTCTCCCGCTCACCACCTGTCGCCACCGTCGTCACATCCCGCCCGTCGCCGACGGCAGCAACAATGTATCCGACGTTTCGACTCCTACCCCCGAAGCCAGTAGGCAGTTTTCAGTCTAATCTGAGTCCGTTGACGGTTGACTGCCTTGGACAGAGGTTCGTGCTGCAGAAGCGGAAAACGAAGCGCTGCGCGCCGAGGCTGCGCACCTGAGCCAGCAAGTGGCTCGTGTCAACGACAACTTCGCCATCGCATGCAGAGGACGCAAAGTTCGCTGACGCTGCAGCGATCCCAATGGATATATCCTAGCTCATGATGGCGTACTGAGTCCAGAGTGCCAGTTTGCGGTGGTGCAGCCGTGCCACTGACCCGTTTGTGTGACGCGCGCGATGCTGTACAGCCCATCCGAGCAGTGTGGTAGCGTACACCTCGTGGTGCTCGCATGCACCTTGTGTGATGCATGCACACCGCGCGCAGTTCCATATCCCCACCCTCACGCGCCTCCACCACTGGCACTCTCTGGCACCTCCCTCTGCGCGCCCAGGCTCCGCTCGGTGAGACACTTGTCTTGCACAAGGAGGCACACACAGATTTGGACAAGCTGACGAGCCAGCGCTGCGCGCACCAGGGTTGGGGTTTACGTCGGCCACGGAAGAGGGTGCCCCGTCCCCAGAGCAGCACGCGGAGGTAGGTGTCGCCTTTGGCACGACGAACAACTTGGATGGTGTGGTGGCAGACAGAGCTTAGTTGGAGTGTTGCATGCTCTATGTTTTATCTTTACCTTGTGAATACAGTACACTCATCTTCATCTACAAGCAAGTGGGGGTACTGCGCAGTGGGCGTGGTCCTCGGAGCCCAGTGTGAGATCAAAACGCATTGTGTTACTTATTTATGCTTTCACTCTTGCTTTTTTTTTTTTTTTTTTTTGAGGAGCGTTTATCTTGACATACCAAGGTGCAAGAGAGGTTTAGGTAGTACTGTCCTTCCTCTTCCCCTTCCTCTTGTGGTCCTGTTCCGGTCCGAATGATTTGTCAGCTATTCATGGCTCAGTGCTCACATAATCTTTCACTCTTGCTTGCGCAGGCATTGTCTATGATGCCGGCCTCGCTCTACACCCACCGCCGACCGACCCTTGCACCCGACCCGCCCATGGGTACCATGGTCCCATTACCGTCCATAGCTCCCGTCCCCAGGGCGACACGTCGATTACCTGGGTCAAGCTTTGGAGTGCCCGAGTATATGCGGTAACGTGACCTCCTCTTTGTTCACTCCCACCACCACCATGCCCCGACACTCTACCTCTGCCCCGCTGTCCCCTACCTGCCACGAGGCCCAGCAAACCATAACCGAGCTCCTCGCGCAAATCACACCCCGCAAACTCCAGGCCGCCCTTGCCCGCGACACCCCCACCACCCGCACCTTCGTCTCGTCTCTCCGCGAACACGTCACCGCTGTCAACCAGGCCCTACCCTCTCGCCAGCCCCATGCCCCTCGCGTCGACCGCTCCGTCGCTCTTGTCAACTCGCGCGTCCGCACCATCGAGAACGCCGTTTTGGATCCACCCGTCTCCAAAGAAGAATTCTGCAAGCTCCTGCTCACAGGCGAGGCCCACATGACTGCCGAAGAACGCGAGACGACTGCACTCTGCCGCCTCGTGCGCGGATATGAAGGCGAGGAGGACACCGCACAAGGCGACTGGTACGACCATATCCACACCCACCTTTCTGTGCCGGAGGGCATCATCGACGTCAAGTAGGAATGGACACGGGTCCGGGTCCGGGTATAAATCAATCAACCTGTACCCGAACCCGGGAAACCCGGACCCGTGCCCGCGGGTCGACGGGTCGGCCACGGGTCGGTCACATGATGTCGGCTAGCGCGGACCGGCCGTGATGTGGGCCTCGGCAACGCATGGCACAGAATATAAAGGCGTCTAGGTGAGTTCTGGCTGCCTGTGGTGCCTTGCATCCAGTTTCTTTTCAAATTACTTCTTTTATTCATGTTTTTTTTCACGATGTTACAGTCTTGTCACGCAAACCCGCGGGTCCGGGTCTGGAAAACTGCCGACCCGTGACCCGTACCCGGCCGACCCGACCCGCAAACCCGTCGGGTTGACCCGAACCCGTGACCTTCCCTAACGTCAAGGTGTTCAGCCATGGCCGGGGCGACATGCTCCAGTGGGCCACCAAGCGACACGTCGCCCTTGAGCAGCACAATTTGACCTCGAAAACCGCCGCGTTCGTGCACCATGTCGTCCAGACACTTGCCGCCATCGAGTTCTCCATGATCTGGGAGGAGCAGGGCAAGAAATGGAAATCGGCCTCCTTGGCCAAGCTTTACCATGCTGAGCACGGAGACGCCGATGGCCTCGAGACATGGAAACTCAAGTTCGGCAAAACAACTACGGCAAGGAACAAGCTAGCGGAACTGTATCGCAAGGTGAGTCTTGTGTTCTGCAGTTGACCCTGCTGACTCCCCTTCAGTTCGGTCCCCATGTGCTTCTCGATCCGCAGTGGTCAACCCATTCCCTCCACCCCAACCACCGCTCCGAGACGTACACCGCCGTCACGGAGTTGCGCTTGTTCGTTGATATGCCCAAGGAACCCGAGGACAATGTACCGACAGTGCACAGTCGATTCACAGTAAACGCTCTTGTCACTACTGCAGTCTTGTACGCCATCGACGCAGAGCTAGCACGTTGGTTTTGCAAATTTGTGCAAGAGCACCCCAGTGATGTGGGGTCTTTTTAGTACAACACTTGTATTCTGCCAATGGAATCCGTTGGCAACTCCATTCTCCAAAGTGCCTACGTAAATCCTCGTGCGGCCTCAGTGACGAGCGCGACGGGTCGGCTCTGCAAAGCCTGGCCGACGTGTCCATGGAGGTCCACGGCCGCCACGAGCGTCACCTTTGCGCCACCGTCGTGTCACGCATCGCTCCTGCCCGCCGTCAACTCAACCCGCTTGTCGCGTCCCGCCTCCTGTACCAGCAAGCGATCTTCGTGGTGATTTTTTTTACCGCTGTACTGGTGATCCAGCTCTGACAATGATTTTTCTTACAGTGCCGAATGTACGCTCCCGCGGACGGTATCACTCGACTCATGCGCTGCGCGGTTCGGCTCTATTTGGGCGAAGTTCTAATACAGCTCTGTGTCGGGCAAGCACGACAGCTTCTAACGACATTTGTTCTCGTTTGTCTCGGAGAAAGTGATAAGATAAGATAAGATAACCCGAATGTTGGCAAGCAATGTTGATTGTTGTTATTGTTGTTGATGTTTTCACCTTTGACTCTGACACGTCACGACCAACCCCCCACACTGGCTTTGGCTGGTGCATCCCCTGCGAGAGCTTTGGCCCTTGCATCATTTCCCGTCTTCGCACTGGCTTTGGCTGGTGCATCTCTACACCCGCCACTGCCGACCGACCTTTTCACCATTCGAGTGACCCGCCATGGGTTAGTACTGATAGTCCCATTCCTGTCGCTTCTGGAGCTGACATCATTCCACAGCTCCTAATAAGGCTGCCTCCGCGCTCGTGGACAACATTGATCTCCTTGCCAACAGCAAGCACCTAGACGAAGTGTCATACCGGCAGACCTGGCGGGATGGCCGTGTTGCCGCCACACTTTTTTGGCAAGGCACGCGGTACCTTATTACGACCAATGAGCACTATGTCCCCGAGCTCTCAACCCACTCTTTGTCATTCACCGGCGGGCTGCAGCTGCAAATGCGCAAAGACCTGTGCTGGGGTGCCGACGACCCTACTATTTGGCCCCAGGAGTGCATCGACAATTTCCTGCATCTCCCGTCCATCCCGCGCTCTGCGCGCTATCCCTCGGAAGCTGTCATGTTCTGGAACCCAGACCCGTCGGACCTGGTGCATCACGACACGCAAACAAGTGTTGTGCGTGGCAAGGGCTATCTGCATCAAAACCCGTCGTCCAAGCTGTCACTGTGCGCAAATGCGCTGCTCGACGAAGCCAAGACACTCGAGGCGACATATGTGAAAAAACAAAAACCGCCACTCCTCGGTATTTTGCGCCTGTATCTGGGGGATGCTGTAGAGCGCTTGACAGGTCTACACGACAACTGGGACTGTATGTTGCTGGCCGTGCGTGAAGTACAACGGGCGTGGGCTGAATGGCGGGTTTTGTACGCTATGTCAAAGTGTATCAACGCCGGCTTCACGATCCCGATGCATACCACCCTATTCCAGACGATTGTGTGGGGGCTTTCACATCCAGCGCCAAACAGGCGCAGCACCTGTTTCGAGCCGGGATACCTTTCTGGTACATGCGGGAGCTCACAAAGTTTCAAGACGAGTGCATCTTCAAGGTGGTCGAGCCCTCGCGCATCGCCGAATGTCTCGAAGTAGAACCCCACCCATCGTTCCCACCCACTCCCACCATATACACATGGGACGCTCATTTGGAGATTCATCGTGCGGCATTCAATACGCAAACC